ATTGCACTAACTCACCCTATAACCGAAACACAGCTTAAAAAGTTGCTTGACGGTTAAAATAGGTGAGACTTCAGTACCCACACCACGAAAATTACTTTTTACAAAGTTTTCATCTATAATATATGTATATATCTATATACACAAATACTAAAGAGAGGCAAATTTGTATCATCAAAAATGTGTATTATGTAAAATCATTGTATTATAAATGATATTTAGGATCAGTAGGAACAATTATAGCACAATTAGGAATGGAGACGAACGAGAAACAAACGAAATGTTATATTACGTTGTATAACTTAATATTTATACTATGATAACTAGTTATAGTTGCGCTATAAATGCTTAATAATAATAAGTAGGTACATATAAATATATAGTGCGCTTAAAAAATAAGAAAGGAAAATATTAGAAAACATATTAACTATCTACATAAAGGAAAATTGTTTTTGTTTATAAAAGATAAAATTAGACGGCGCTTTCTTGTTTATTTTATTGTCGGCAGATAATTTTGTATTTAGTTATTTGAGTAAACATGCTAAGCTGTTGGTACCGTTTAAGCCAGATAAAGCGACATTTCTTAATAACCAACCCGCATAAAAGTGACACTTATCCGAAATCCATTTTCATTTTCCATTCCCACGTGTAGCAATGATTAATTGCTTGACACCAAAAGTTAATTTATTCTAATGAACCGAACGGCTTGGTCGGTTACAGAATGACTTCATTGAAAATATTTTTATATGATAATATGATTCCACTCTCATGTATTATGCAACTGCTTGTCATGAACATTTGTCGGTTGCACTATTTCAGTCTCTTGCTCGTTTGCATGAGTTCCGTAAGAACGCTTAATATTATGTTGCAAATATTCATCTTAAATTTTTACTTCGAAATGTTACAAAAACTCCTAAATTGTGTGGTGTCCACTAAATAAGAAGCAAGGTTGTGTTTTCTTGGGCAAGCAAGCAAATGTTTAGATACAAGATGAATTGTACACAAGTAACAATCCAAGGAAAACAAATGAACTTGTAAAGACTTTACTTCCGGTATTTCTAACCTAAAATTATAATATTAATAATCTGTAGAACAGTTGAAATATATACATTCGCATCAAACATGATAATCCAACGTATTATTATATGAGTTAATTAGAAAAAACGTCATAAATCATCCGATCCACGGCTCTAAGCCATGTAAAGACCGAGGCTTTCGAGTAACACAATAACTTTATCTGCATCTCTGTCTAATGCTAAATTTTATTACCGGTTGAAAAGAGAAAACATGAAGTCGCTGGCATATTTACGAAAAACGAGGCCGTAATTTGCCTGCACGAAAATTTGATAATAAATCATAATAGTTTTAGTCTGAGTAGAAATAAAAAAATAAACCAATTTGGAAAGTGAATTGTAAGGCACGGCGGGTACCGCAGCTTGGTCTGTTATTAGAGCAATTATGTTATTATGTTCGCCGTATCTAATCCGAAAAACTAAATTGGAGTCGGCCGCTGCCGGCGAATGGCCGATAGGTTCAATCATTTCGACTTTTGGGTCGCACGAAATTCGTTGCGGAAGCAATAAGAAACACGAAAATTCCAAACGAAATAGTAACGAATTATCCAATAATATATAGCTGTATGCAAGCAAAATTCGGATCAATAAAAAAGGGATCCGGTAACACAATTTCTGAGGCGCCATTCGCTACGGTCCCTAGTTTGGTACAAATTAAAAAAGGGTGCTCACTTGCATTACATATTTCAAACTTCACATTTCATAAACAACCCCGCGTTGCCCTTTGATATCCCTCACTTAACTCATATTTCATTCAATATGACCATAATTGAAGTGATGGGTGGCACCTCATTAGAATAAAGTACTTATCGCTCCAGTAAAAGGGTTCATATCTGTTCGCAGACATTCCGAATAAGAAGCATTGCATGAACGATTGCCTCTTTCACAATTTGTATCTTTAGCATACTCCTCGAAACAGGTTTTCCGTGTGTACGAAATCAACGTAACGTCCCGTGTTTTCGTTCTAAAATGCGTTGCGTCCCTTTGTATTATCAAAATATCAAATATGAATACCAAATAAGGGTTGGGACAAAAGAAAAACTGACAACTTTTTAATTTATGCGTAAACGAGTACATGAAAACGTAATAATAGGAGCGTGTATGGTAAATACAATATATTAAAGTAATAATTCTGTGTGGGGCGTTTCAAAAGTTGTCTGGTTATATTTTTCTAAAATTTCACGGTAGATATATCATCGTGGCTCGTGGAAAATTGCTACGTCTTCATTATGAACGTGGAGTGGTACTCAGCTTTGTAAACATACATGATCGTTGTTGGTTTTCTCAATTTGTTTGACAATGACCGTGCTCTGAAAGCTAATGAAGTCGTTTCGACTGAACATCTGTCTGTAGAAGACATGTATGTATATACAAATTTGCTTTTATAATTGAAAAGCATTTGTTCAATTTTATGTTCTTATTCAACGAATTTGTTGGTTTAAACGACTGTCTTATCTTCCGTTAGTTGCAGGTTCGATCCATGTATTATAAAACATTTACATTTTACTAAGTTTTGTATAAATAATGTCGACATACAATGTAACAATAAAAAAATGTATTCAAGTTTTGTTATCTGTTATCCTTAGTGCTATCTCTGTTTATTTTTGATACTAATACATGTCCTGTTTTATTTGTTGTTTTTATTTACCTCATTGCTATTTATCTCATTACAATGTTAATGATTAATTTTAATACAAACCATTAACCTCATTGTTTACCAGACTTCAATTCGTTGTTATACTTATTTTTTAATACCAGATATGTCTTATTGATAGCATAGACAATAAATTATTTCTAATTAATTATTTTATTCAACTTTTGTTTGTAAAAATATGTAAAGTATGTTTACCTACGACAACATTTTATCAGTTTATTTTATGTTCGGAGGTGATAATCCTTAGTGATTTGTGTTTTTAATGATTTATTTCCATCTATATCTATGAATGAGTCAAAAGTTCACTGGCAGATTGAATATTAATTACTCATAAAATACATATTAATTAAATTTATACACAATTTTAATTTATGAGCTTATTTTTATTGCACTGTTTCGCATGTATCAACATAATCTAAATCATAAACAAAACTACTACTGGCAGACGATAGTTTTAAAATATTTCAGTGGGTAACCCTTAAGATATACTACATCTTTCAGAAGTGAGTGTTAAGAATGTTTATGAATATATATTTTTTCAAAATAGAAGTTCAAAATTTTAAAATCGATATAAAGAAATATTCGATTTTCAAATTTTTAAAACTTAGTGTCTTCTTTTTCGATTTATACAACTGTTGTAAAACAATTGTAACACTAAAAATTATGATGTCATATATTACAAAAATATAGATATGTTATATACATTCACACTTATATCTTGATAGACGAACTTGACCAGTTACAGTAGGATCCTCAATGTAGTTGCACTGACCCACTTATCAGCTACCTACTGTTCTGGCGACCTCTCATTTCATATCAACTAATATACCAGATAGCGCAAGCCACAGGTCAAAGATATAAGACCAACGACTTTTTGAAAATATTTTCCTGAGTGATATAAATAATAATGAATAGCATTATTATTCGCTTATTTAATTTTAATTATCAGTGAAAAAAATATTGATTAAGCTATCCGTATTCAGTACCTAGTCGATTTTATGAATGGCTTTTATTTGTATTTGTGGTTCGATCAATGTAATTAATCAATAAGATAATTTTTGCCATCATTTAAAGTAATTTATTTACTCTTATAAAATATGAAAACCACAATTTTACTATTTGTATTAAAAATTGATAATAACGTAACTTTCTTTTTTAAACATAAGAATAATAATATTATAATACGATTACGTATTTTTGTTTAGTAATACATTTTTAAGTCCCTTATTTCTCTTGTTCCAGGTGAGTTCCCGACATCGTGGGGTCGGAAATTGGCCGGAATCTTGATTTGCGAATGGCCTTCGTGTGTATGTGTTCTGATCATTTGTTTAGTCGCGTGTTCAGCACGCGAATAACAGTTCAATCTTGATTTACATAAAGTCGTATTTCAATTTGGCACGGCCCCCGTCCCGTCAGCGGCAATATGCAAGTGTGGCACTAAACGACAACTTGAATATCGAACTGGAGTTTATGCGTTTTCAAACAGATAACTTTATGAATATCGGCCAGAATAATCTCATATATTATTTATAATTATATTTGAACCTATAATAAATATTTTTAAAATGAACAAATTGTATATGCTATATTTATGCGTTAAAACATTTTCTATCATATACCTATATGAAATAAAACGTTAAGATTTGTGCATTGTTTTTGTTGCATATGCATTTAGTAATTTAAGTTGCACTATTTTACAATTAAATACTTAAATGTAATGTGATAATATTTACGTTCAAAAGAACTGTATATTTTCTGCACCTGAACCTGTTAAATATATTTATTATTGGATTATCAAACTTGAATATTAATTCTTCATTTGAAAATATCACAATACATATGTGATAGTTAAGAATATGATAAACTAAAAACGTCTACTTTAAATATCTATCGTCATAGTATCGATTTTTAAATTGATTTTAATTTAAAAAATGATGTTACTCGATAGCAACTGTAGAGACAGCGACGAATCTCTTCATAGAGTTTCCCGCCCATCCGTAGCGTAACGCTGTATGCAATGCATTCGCACGCATTTCGCTAATCTAACATGTGATCGGCTACGTAGTCTCGTCTATAACCAGCCATTTTGTAAAACCCATACAGTCTAAACTCTCTTTTGCAGTTAGGCATCATTTCGTCTGGCCGCGTTAAAAGCACGGTGCATGTTCGCACTCCCACCCGCTACATACACAGACGCAAAGCATGTATGAATCATGTTGGTCTGCGTGTGAGGGTGCCCGTACGTTTGCGCTCCGCTGGAGTCTGTCAGTGTGTTTGTGTCTATCGTTGCACGTGCACCTTTGTATGTGTGCAAGCCCACTCATGGCAGCGGACTATGACGGTTCGTAGATTTGACAGCTAGCTCAATGCGGGTTCAGACGTTCATTATACCGCGACCGATGTAATTTTCGTGAAATATTTGTCAACCGTACGTGTAACAAATACGTGATTGAATAGTGTTGTGATGCGATATCGTAACAGTGATTCCTTAGTGGAGATATTTACCCGCGAACTTGAACTTGGCTCATTGATCTGAGTATGTCCGACTTGTCGATTGATTTGTGACATGCCCCATCTCGAGGTGTTTTTACAATGCTTGTAATTAGATGCGCCTCGTTGGACTTCATTCCGGGGTGTAACAGTATGAATAAAAAATTGTTTGCGGTTTTATGGTATCAAGAATACGTAACGAGTATACACTCGCTGATCACCCACTACAAATAGACTTAACAATACTTCTAACCGTTTAGATTAAAATATGTTCAAGAGGTGATAATAGGTGTAGGTCGAATTTATGTTTGGTTTCAAGTTTAGTGATTATTTTTTTTATATACGAAAACAGTGTTCCTTATTGATTAGTGGATAATAACGAAACTAAGTGTAATGTAAATATTATGTGTAATAAAAATATGGACACTGAAGATTTTTTATGGAAGAATAATTTTTGGTGAGTTGTAATATTATAGTTTATTTTATTACAATGTCATATAATTTACAGTAAATATGACTTAAATAATAATAATAATATCTTATATATTATAATGCCTTAAAGCATTTCTACACCTCCAGAAGTTGGCTAGTACAGAATGCTGAATAGCACTAAGTCCGCTTTACGTACCTACTAAATTTACAGACAAGTATAAAAAGTAAATAAATGCAATTAAAGAGTCTCTAATATAAATTAACTTAATTGGTTTACTATTAAAATAAGTTGTAGGCATATTTCTACTTTAAATGATATCGCAAATTTACGACTCTGTAATAAAAGAGCTACTTACTGGACTGATGGTAGTAGAAAATATATAAAATAAATATTTGCATAAAATGTAAGTATGAAAATAGTAGTGTATTATGTATTTATTAAACACAAATATATACTTTATATTTACTTATCTATTACTGGCATCAATCGAATCTTTACGCCTAAACTATTTATTTAATTACTGCACTTAAAATCCCAGTAATTATGCATAAAACATATAAATACCAATTTATTATCATCATCTCTTAGGGAAAAATGTGCTATTATTGATGTGCACTACCCGATTTTCCAAAAAAGAACATAATCGTTATTTTAAATAATATTATTACATTTAATTTAAAAGCATAACCTAAAAATATATTTAAAAAATACATTGAATCCTATATAGAAGTCGTCTAATTGCCGATATTCAAAACTAGAAAATATGATTTATAAAGCATGACATATTTGAAAAATAACCAAACGGAAACATATAAATGCAAATAAAACAAAACGCAGATGTCGACAATCGATAAATATCATTTATAAATAAGTATAATTTATAAAAAAAGGTGCACATGTCACTAAGATTAATAGAGACATTAACACAAATAAGCATAAATTTGATTGTTTTCATTATATTACACCGGTCGGCTTTTTATAGGAGTCGCCGAAAAGCAGGTACCCGAAGGTTTTTAGAACATTAATCAAAATCTTGGTGTTATCCTTTTAAATGAGTCGACGAAAGAGCGAAATAGAGATGTAGATCCGCGTGGGGGTAGTGTGGCACCGCCCTAAGAAAGGTCATTAATCTACTTTTTTTTTAACTTCGGACCAAGAAGTTCGTGTATATAGTTTGATTTGCTACTACTGTTTGGTATTGTTATATGCTATATATTTTATTCTGTACAAATATTAAATTCGTCGCAGTTTGTAAAGTTTTGTTATGACCTTGCCAATGTTTATTTAAAATACTACAGTATTTCTTTATATAATCTTGAATATAACATTTGACTTCGTATCCTTATACCTATATATATATATGCGACCTGCAAATTTAACCTACAATTAAATTAAACAATCCTGTATTCATATCAACAAATACTTATTATATATTAGGTAAATATAATTTGTTTATAATTTATTTTTAAAATTGAGGCCAACAAAACATTCCTATGATTTGAATTAAAAATAAAATATTTAATCACGAAAATATCTTTATTGTCATGATAACGTGACACATAACTTATTATTAAAACATCTGTATATTATTATACTGTCATATTAACATATTAAATTAATGGCAGCCATTATCACACTATTAAATTGATTTGCCTCAGATAAATTAAACATCTCTAATCATCGATATGAGGATAAAACGTAGGTATTATTTATTGTATTAAAATTAATGTAATTTAATTATATATATATAAGTGTTATGATTATTAGCCTGAGTTATCCACAGTTAGATTTCAGCTTTCGTTATTGTCTTGCATCCAGAGAGCTTTCAACACAGGAGGCTATACTTTTGATGTTTATATGATAGAAGATTACCTATAATGAGTATGTCCTATATAACATAATATCAACCCCGAAAAGGTAGATTTTAAAAACTAGAGTTATTAGAAAGAAAGATCTTTAAAAAATTAACCCCGATTTGATTGTTAAAGGCATGTGTCCAAAATCACAGGAGAGACGAAACCGCTATTCTATCATAAGCAGGATATACAATATAGCAGTATTAATGAATACTAAGTTCTGTACCCCAGTTATAATATTATTAGTTCAGTAGATATTAGAAATAGATTTCTATATAAATTACATTCACTCCATCTTTCGGTTGATTGGATTGTAGTTGAAATATTTGGTTTAATAAAAAGCTACAAGACAAAAATACATTCACGATGTTAACAAAGTTTTCGTAGGCCTAAAATAAAATAAAATAAAATAAAATACGGTTCAAATTATAATGCCTTTATGCCTTCGCAACGAATAATATTCGTTGCGAAATAATTGTATTAATAAATTCATGTTCACACGTGCATTTAGCAGTATAAATCGAAACAGGTCGACTATAAAAATTAAACTGTCAAAAACGTATAAATAAATTGATCCAAATACGTGGTCAACGCGTCCGCACAAGTACTTCCTATATGGGGCTATCTAACGGTGCCTTTCACCGGTATCTGGTGGCCATCATATGGACTGCTTTTTTAAACTGCCTTAATAAAGCGAATAGAATATAAGATTTTAATGTCGAGCATTCGAGATTTCGTTATGCGATAATGCGGCGTGACTACGGTCACGACTTTCTATGTCCACTGCAGTACCACTCAATCTCTACATCCGGGGGTCGCAATCAGGCGAATGCGAGCTGCAATCGTAGATACCATGTTATGTGGATCACGATTGCACTTAATAACATAATCCCATGTTTGGCTTTTGTTATGATTTTGCATGTTGCAGTTGGTATTTACGCAATCATCTTGGTAACCTCTTCTATGATGCATACTTTTACAAAATTAATATATATGTATAGTTCGTATAATACATATTGGTCTATGTAATACCATTTCTGGCAGAATTGTCTAATGGTATAGTAATATAACTATTTCAAATGCAGCAAATATATAGTTTTACTTAAAATTTATTAATTAATTTTAATTCATAAGTAGGTAGATTTTTATTTTAACTAGCTACTGTAGACTTTATTTGTTATATGTTAAAAATAAATAAAATTTAGAAATTCATAGTAAGTGGTTCTTACTAAATATTTAAAAAATAAGTGAACACTTTTAATTCAGATAGCGGTTAGTGAGTTGAACACATCTGCAAAAATCATGGTCTTTTTTACTGATTAGATATGCAGCCCTTCCGTAACAAAATAATAATGGATCATACAAGCTTGTTATATTAAAAAAAATCAAATGTATGAATATTATTCGCTGATTGTACACAAACCACGTGTGCAAAATTCCAAGGCCTTCAGAGAATTGTAGCGTCGTTTTTTTGCACAAGACTTCCTTAAGTAACTAATGTGGAAGACGTGGAGCCTACAAGTAAAAAATATGCTATTATTTAGAGAATATACTGAATGAGAGTATAATTTTAATAAAATTATCTGTTAGTCGGTTTGTTTAGCATAATAAGACATCTTTTAATGAAGTCGCTCCTTAAAACCGCGAATGCATGTAAGCCGTGTAAAGCCAAGCTGTATTGTTAGTTTACAAATATGATTAATTCGGTATCTACATTATTATAGAGAATGGTTGACTGGACAAAAATGATTACGCCCACCGATGTGTGTCGTTAATTTAATATCATTTGTTTATGTCATCGGCTCCCACCAGCACACTGGCGTCTCATTAAATATTTTAATTAAGTTTTGACGGTCATGTAAATGTCAAAATTAGATGTATATCCTGTCATATATCCGGGCCAAATACATATATTTTGTAAATAAGTAGCTATAGTTGCGTGTATTTTTGTAAGTTGTTATAACTATATATATTATGAAAATAAAGGACGTCGTAAATATCATAAATAATTATAATGCTTTTATTTATAAAATATCATTACATTTATACAAAATATTCACATTAATGTGGTCTATTTTTTTTAAATATGTACACAAATGAAAAGTTATGTAAAAAGAAAATCTTGATTTGAAAGGAATTTGATGTAGGTACCTTTTTTAAAAATATACAATTATGAAATAATCGGTATGTAATTAACGTATATTTAAGTTTAATATGTCCGATTTATTATGTACATAATTTTCAGTTAAATATTGTGTACATAATATTTAAGTTCGGGTAATACAAAAAATACTTATTCATATCAAGCAACATCACAAATTACAGCTCTTTTGGCTCAGTGCTGCGAGTGCGGAGGGCGGATCTCCACATGACAGTTGTTAATGATATTTCGTACAATGTGCGGATGTTACTTTATACATACCCCTACATAAAGTAAAATACTTAATTCGATGTACTATATTCACATTTTATAATAGTAACTTTATTTAAGTGGAGAAAAGCTGTAGTGGTACAACGAACCGATGGTGTCCTTTCGATATGAATCACTTTATTGGTGAAACATGGCCTGATCAAGGTTAAGATAGAGATGTTTGTAGTACAAGTCCTTTTATTTGCACTGGGAAAAATTAAGCTATAAAAAAATCTAGTTGTATGTCGTATATATAAATAACATACATACAAAAATATGTAATGTAGTTGTCGTTTTGAATTATTGACAGTTGCGCTAAACGAGGCAGTGACTTTGTTAGCTTATTTGTTACCCTTTAAAAATTAAAACTAACCAAAAATACCTGACTACTCATGTGGCTCAGATTAAATTCAGAACAGAAGCTGGTAGTACGATAATTTTATTGAAAAATATAAATAATTATTCATAACTGAGTAATGTATTTTTGATTTCAATTGCATGGCATAAGCAACAAAATAGGTTGAATTAGATAAGACTAACTAAAAAAATGGGAAGTAAATACAAGTAATAGTAGAATAGTAAGTACATATATACAAACTACGACTGTGCGCGTAGTAATAAGTTTGTAAAATACATAGGAACTTCTTGTAGACCACCTGTGTGTTTCTACAGAAGGTATATAAATATGCTAAGTTGGGTACGATTGAATAGATAGACATAAGTAGATATCTTTTGTATAAAATTGGAGATACCTATGC